TGTTGGGAAGGAGGAAAATAGATGCTGAGGGAAGTAATTTGGGATCCCGTGAGTAGATGTGCACGCCCCAACTGCAATTTGAAAGTAGTGCTTAATTTTGAAGATCTTTCCCTCTTGAAAGGGGTGGATAGGATAAAGCCCTGTGGAAGAATTTCTGCAAATATCCACTTTACAACTGTCCAGTAATGTTATCTCCCATCAATCCCCTCACAAGTTGTGATTACCTTGTATTTTAAATGTTAGAATGAGAACATTATGAAATAAAATTAGTGAATGAGTTCCACTAGTAAGTTGTTTTAGCAACAGTATGGAATTAGTTAGCCATTTGCTTCCTCCAGGAGATAGATTTTTCAGTCTAGTTCAGTGATGGCGAACCTTTTAGAGACCGAGTGCCCAAACTGCAACCCAAAATTATTTATCTCAAAGTGCCAGGGCTGCATCAGCATTGTGGTGCCCTCAGGGGGTGTGGGGTGTGTGTGTGGCCCACTGGGTGGGCATGGCTGCAGTGATCACGGCAGACTGAGTGTGGCCGGGGCCAGTCCCTCGCCATCTCCGGGGCATCCCTGGGGGGGGGGGCAATGCCACTTGCTTGCTCACTTCCTGCCCTGTCGCTTCTAAACGCCACATGCTTGCTACTCTGGTGAACTCTGCTGGGGCAACGGTGCACGTGCCCACAGAGAGGGCTCTGAGTGCTGCCTCTGGCCCGCGTGCCATAGGTTCGCCACCACTGGTCTAGTTTATGTCGATGTTATTTCCTGATAGTCTCCTAGCTTTCTGAATCAGACCAGTTTGATTTGACACTGTCAGTTAATTGGACCACATTATGAAAACATGTACGATCATTTTAATTGTAATTATCTACCAGTTAAAATCAAATTTTAAATCAAATTTATCTTTTATTCTGCCTTCCCTCCCCTACAGATTTCAAAAATGTGCACATAGCATGCTATTCAGGTTCAAGGTAGCATAGGAGAAGGACTGGCAAAGCTAGGGGGAGGAGTAAAAAGAGGGATCAGCCTAGAGTCGTTATGTAATCACAAACAAATTCCAACCCCCTCTTGACTGCCTTCGACCCTTATCTAATCTTAACCAGATGCTGAGTGTTAGTTAAGAAGTTTCCTGTGCATAGGCTTTTAGCAACAAATCAGTTAAGCTGGACCTTCATGTATGTACTTGGTCTTTCACGCCATACATAGCTTTGGCATACAAACATATCCATCATGTTATTCTCTTTTGAGATAAACAAGAATATTCAAAAGAAGAAAAGTAGTAGTCAAATAAACTAAAAGTTTGAGATAATAGGGGGAAATCATTAATCTAATTAATATCAGTGCTATTCACCAGGATAAAACAATGAACTAGATTTAGAGCTAATGTTTAGAATGGAAGCTGTACATTCAGTGCAAAGTCTGAATTTGACTGCATCATGTGTCCTGAAGTTGCAGATCCACAATCAATGGTAAACCCAAGTAGTTGAAAAGTGGATATCAGCTGAACAGAAATATAAAAGGAAGCTTGATTGACCACCCTTGTTCCTTTGACTTACTCAGATCATCCCACCTGATTCTGGAAAAAGACACAGTTACTTTAATTGAAAGCCAAAGATGCTGAATTTGCCTTCCAACCCATTTTGAAATGCCTCTTCTGAGTTGGTTAAAAAAGCAATGCAGAGCCCTAATAAATACCTGGCCACATATCAATATCAGAAATAGGGATGTGATTTAATCAATGTGCTTAATTTTGTTCTGCCCTTCAATTTTTCCTGCTTCTTGATCCTAAAGAGAGAGCTTTAACAAACAAGATAGTAGTAACTGGGGCCAAAGCAGTGTTTATCACTATGACAGCAGTCTTCTCCTAAGTACCTGTGGACCTTTCCAGTCGCCTATATTTGTTTCAAAGATTAAGCCAGACATGTTTAAATACACACAGGTGTTAAGTGAAACTGCAGAAGAAAAATGTGAGTCTACTCTGCAGAGTATGAGAAGCGGTATGTAGCTTCATTATGCTTTTGCTTGAATGTTTGTTTAGGCATAGTACAACGATAGGATTCTGAGAATAAAATACTATTCTGAATTAGAAAAAAAAACCTGGACTGGTTTACTAGTTTCTATGTTATTACAATTGAAAGTAAAAACTCTCTTCCCTATCAGAGAACCTCTGATTTGGATTAGTAAGCAGTTTTGAAAATAAAACTTTGCCCCATAATAAGAAACTGCTGGGCTGGAATAACAATAAAAATGAAACTCAGTTCAACGTCTATATCATAAAATACTCTGACCTAGAGTAATGATCTCATCTGGAAAATGAAAGTCCAGTTGTTTATCAGAATCCTCCTGAATGGGTGTAATGAGTAGTTTTCAGAACTAAAGGACTGGACTAGGCAGAAAAAAAATTGTTGACTTCACCCCTCTGTTTCTAGCATTATTGTCCAAACCTTGAACCACACAGCACATCCTGGACAGCTTTCCCATCAAATTTACTCTCTTGCCAGCCACTCCCAGCATGGCTGGCTGGGGAATTCTGGGAGTTGAAGTCCACACATCTTAAAGTTGTCAAAGTTGGACACCCCTTTTCTAGTCCCTTTGAAGATTCTGGTTCTGTCATTTGAATAAGTGGTTGTGCAGAAGGATTCAAAAACAGGATGATGTATATATTTTCACAACTGGGGAACACCCATTAGCAGGTACTGTAGGCTGCCCAGAACGTATCTGAAGTTTCCTAATATAGGGCTTTTCAACCTTTTCACCCATTGTACCACTTTTAGGATATGGCAACATCCGAGTACCACCAGTCGCCTAGCAAGGTGTCAAAAACTTGATGACCAAAAAAAAAAAAAAAGGAAAAAAGTGATGAAGTACAGGTAGTCCTTGACTTACAACAGTTCGCTTAGTGACTGTTTGAAGTTATAATGGCACTCAAAAAGTGCCCCCCAAGCCACAGCTGAGCAAGACACTTGCCTGTCCACCCGGCTGCACTCTTTGTCCTGTCTGAGGTTTTCATTGTTGTGAGCATTTCTGCTGAGGATTGGCAGCGGGGATAGGGTGGGGGGTGTTTGGTTTTTATTACCATTTGGTTTTTATTTTTATTTTATGTCTGCTAGGTGGTTGCAGCAGGTTTTGGTCACTTCACATGATCCTGGGACACTGTGACTGTCATAAATATGAATCAGTTGCCAAGCATCTGAATGTAAATCACAAGACCCTGGAGATGCTGCAACATTCCAGCTGATCAGTGCTTCTTCTGGGCTCAGCAGAAGTGCCAGGATCAGCACCGAGATCCAGCTGGAGCCTGGCACTGATCCTGGTGCTTCCGCTGTGCCCTGACAGCCCTGCAGCTCCAGCCATCTCTGGCTCAGGCTTGTACAGTGTTACCACCGGTTCAGCTCATTCCCCTCCCCCGCTACCACTTTTCTAGGATGGTTGCGTACCACCTGCCAGATGCAAATGTACCACAGGTGGTACCTGTACCACTGGTTGAAAAGCCTTGTCCTAATGCACAATATTTCACATTTGACTTGGATCTTTATTGCAACATCAGCAGTGAAACCTTTTTACAACACTTCATTGCCCCTAACATTTTCAAGCAAAATTGCCTAAAGCTGACCATGATGCTGCCAAAGTGAAGAGCTATTGGTCTTCTACAAGACCTTGAAAATCTATTTCCCTGGGTATTAAAATCAGAGTGCTGGATGAGCCATTTATTTATACTATTATGATTATGATTGTTATTGTTGTTGTTATTATTATTATGGATCATCGCACAATCAGCCAGATGTTCAGACTGGATTTGGCATTTTGTCTACCTATCGAGTCCTTACCCAGGACCTGGGATAGGCAGATGTGGATGTTTGATGGTATTACAGATATCGTCGCAGGATGGAAGCAGTTCCTAGTAAGGCCGCCTTTTGTAATTGACTAATAGCGAATTTGTCAATGCCAATGATGTTCAAGTGGTGCTCCAGTTGTTTTGGGATTGCACCCAAGGAGCCTATTACTATTGGTACTACCCTTGCTTGCTTTTGCCACAGTCTTTCTATTTCTATTTGTATGTCTTTGTATTTTGTTATCTTCTCCAGTTCTTTCTTGTCTATTCTGCTGTCTCCAGGCACTGCCACGTCCACTATCCAGACTTTTTTGTCTTTCTTATCGACAATTGTTAAGTCTGGGGTGTTATGTTGCAGGTGCTTGTCTGTTTGAATAATAATAATAATAATAATAATAATAATAATAATAATAATAATTATTATTATTATTATTATTATTCAAGTTGGAAGGGACCTTGGAGGGCATCTGGTCCAACCCAACTAGGCAGGAAACCTTATACCATTTCAGACAAGTGGTTGTCCAGTCTCTTCTTAAAAACTTCCAGTGTTGGAGCATTCACCACTTCTGGAGGCAAGTTGTTCCACTGATTAATTGTTCTAACTGTCAGGAAATTTCTCCTTAGTTCTAGATTGCTTCTCTTTGGTTAGTTTCCATCCATTGCTTCTTGTCCTGTCTTCAGGTGCTTTGGAGAACAGCTTGACTCCCTCTTCTTTGTGGCAGCCCCTGAGATAACACTGCTATCCTGTCACCCCTCGTCCTTCTCTTCAATTCCTGAAATGAAGAGAAAAGGTTGCAGAACCTTTGATTTGACCATATGGTGATACTTGGTTTTTATGTTTCCAACTCTATATAAGCCATCCAAGGTCACTACTGCAATATGGGTGGCCATATAGATTATCTAAAATAAATAATAAATATGCATTATTTACTAATTAAATGTATGTGCTGCCCATCTCGCCATCAAAACCCTGTTACCTCAATTGGAAAAATAGAAGGGGTAGAATGTGTCACAATGTCACAATGCATCTTTCACCACCCTCCTTGACCTCCTGTGTATGCCTATGAGTCTAAACAATTACAAAGAAACCCACAACCTACAGAAAGAAAGTCTCCCAGGAGACTATGCTGAAAATCAGATGTTCATTAAATAGATAACTCAAAACAATTTCCTCAGCTGACACAGCCAAAGAGTTCTGAATTATTGTTCTGAAATATTTTGTTGGCCTTTCTTTCTCCTTGGCTCTGAAAAGTGATTGTGATGCCAGCGGAGAGGAAGAAAGAGAGAGAGGTATGTTCAAGTCTCCTAGGATTTGGGATTTCCTCCCCTCCCTCCTCTTCTTTAGCTGATGTTGTTGTTGTCACATAACTCACCTGCCAACTTGTTCTTGTTAATTCATCTCTTCTCTTCCGCCTCCGCTTTGAGGCGAGGTGACGGAGGCCGAATGGGGAAAGAGAAAGAGAGGAGGGGGGGAACAGCGGACGCTGAAACCGAATGAAAATGAATGCTATTTTCAAACCCTAAGCAAGGCTGCAGAGGCTAATAATTACATTAAAAAGGCCCTCTGCAGGCAGGTGCAAATAGGCTAGTCTAAACAAGTGCCACTCTTTGATACGAGGCTGTTGGAGATGCTGTCACTACCTGCCCAGACGGCCACCTTTCACCTCCAGCCATTGTGCTCGGTTAGATCGCACTAACAGGGAGAGCGGGGGGGGGGAGGACTTGTTTGTCTCACGCTCCAAGGCAGCCGAGAGACTTGCCAAATGACAGGAAGACGCTTACATTCGCAAGGTGTGATTGCCTAAGTGTTTGACTGTCTCTAATTAGCTTGCCTTTGCTGGTTGGTAGCTCCTCTGTCAGAAGCAGATTGACTCCGCAGGCTTTAAGCAAAGTGGTTTGATTGGTGTTGTTATCATATGTTTATTTAACTCTCCCAGTAGCCTCCAGCCATGTTTGGAATAGTATGTCCTTTTCCCTTTTCCTTTCCTTCTTTTCCTCTCCCCTCTCTCATTTCCCTCTCCTCTCTTCCCTCCTGTTCCCTTCCCTCCTTCCTTTCCTTTCCATCCCATTTCATTATTTTTAAGGAAGATGCATTCATTAGATTAATCATTAATTTTTGAGATCCTACATCAGCTTTCTTCCTTGGACTTCACCAGCTTTTTAGTGGCATCTTCTACTTAGGGAAGCAGGTGGCGTTTGCTTAATAGAGGATTGCCCTGTAACATTGCTTCTGTAGAAATGTCAGCCTAATTCTAGGTTTAAATGGGAACAAGGGGCAACCTGGAATTGTTATCGCTCACTATGTTGCAGCAGAATCTGAGTATGATTTTTCTTTGGCAGGAAATTATATTTTGGTACAAATGGAATATTCCTATATATCTATGAAATGTATAGATGTATTCCCACTTGTCTTCATAGAATGCAAGATGGAATAAATTGATCTTATCCCATATGATCCGCTCTATAACTGAGAAATGCATAGTTTTAGAAATGCAGTCAGACCTCAAACATCAAGGTCATCCTTACTCAGCCTCTGTATTCAATAGTTTTGTTTCCGTTGTTTACCTCAAGACTTCTTTCCATCAAATGCAGTGCTTAACAAGATTATACTGCAGAAAGCAGTGATGGGGATAGCTGATAGCTTTGTAATCTCCTCAGAATCTGTCTGGTCAGCTACTGCAGGATCTCATAGGAGACCGAGATTTAAAGAAAGTTTAATTCGATAACTAATGTTAATCGCTGAACTTTTTTTCTCTTGTAGTTCTGTTTCCCTACTTGCCCTGATCTAATGCCACCAAGTGTGCTGAAGCTACAATTCCTAGAATTGTCAGCCAGCTGTTTGTCCTGATAGCCAGGGCTTTTTTTCTCATAGAACGCCCAGAACGGAGTTCCGGCTCCTTTTTTGGATGGAACCTTATAGGGTAGGCAAGACGGGTTATACAGTATAATGTGTGGGAGTTCTGGCACCTTTTTTTTTTTTTAAGAAAAAAAGCACTGCTGATAGCTAAACATTCACAAAGTCATAACTGTAATATCTAGAGGACCCTTGATTATGGGATATTGCATGGAGCCATTTCTTTATCCAAGGATCAAGATGCATACATTGGGCACTCAGTGCTTGCTATGGTAGACTTTATTTCTCTAGAATAACAGAATAACAGAGTTGGTAGGGTCCTTTGAGGTCTTCTAGTCCAACCCCCTGTTCAGGCAGGAAACCCTATACCATTTCAGACAAATGGTTGTCCAATCTCTTCTTTAAAACCACCCACAACTTCTGGAGCACGTTGTTCCACTAATTAATTGTTCTAACTGTCAGGAGATTTCTCCTCAGTTCTAGATTGCTTCTCTCCTTGATTAGTTTCCATCCACTGCTTCTTGTCCTGCCTTCAGGTGCTTTGGAGAATAGCTTGACCTCCTCTTCTTTGTTGTAGTGCCTTAGATATTGGAACGCTGCTATCATGTCACCTCTAGTCCTTCTTTTCATTAAACTAGACATACCCAATTCTTGCAAGCGTTCTTCATATGTTTTAGGCTCAGTATTCAAGTATGTCAAGATCCTTCTGTATCTTGAGCCTATCTCTTAGACTTTGGCTATTCCTGCCAATTGGACTATTTCCTAGAAATCTTCTTGATCCAGTCTATTAGCACAGATGCATACCTATGCCACATCATGTAAGTGATACCATACCATATAACTCCAGGCATAGACAAGGCTGTAGCTGAAGGGCACCAGTTTGGGGATTGCTATGCTAGTCAAGCTAGAGGAACTAACTTTCAATAATTAGTGCAAATGTATATTTTCTTTAAACTGATATTACAGAATGCTAAACTGATGTGATTCCATGTATTTTTATTGAATGTATGTATCAGAAGTCTTAGAACTGCCCATCACCTTCTTTGAATCCAATTGGATTTAAAATCTGCACCATTATAAGATATTATTATTCTTTTTATTCTTCTCCTCTACTTCTGTGCTAAGGTCCGTGAACCATCATCTGTGACCCACTGAGTTGCAGTTATAAATAAAGCAAAATGATATTTTCTAGAGCTTTTGCTAATGGTCAGTTCCTGATAATGTTACACAATTCCCTTGAGCAAGTGGACTTGGTGGCAAATCTCTGTGTACACACTGGAACCTCAGCTCTGGAAGGAAGAGCCTTCCTTTAGCTACACTAATTGCCATGTCAAATTAGCATGATGAAACAAATTCTAATTACCCTGAAAGATCACTTAGGGTATTAGCTTTGCTTCTATGGCCTATTCTTCTGCCACTTATTTGCATACTAATCCAGGGATAGCTAGGTAGATGACAGTATGAATTGCTGTCTAGTCTGTTTACGAATATTTGCAGCAGGAGGTGCTGGCAGGCAGTTGCTGCCAAATCAGGAGGGAAACAGGAAATGGAGGCCAGGATGTTTAAGCTAAACGAAGATGGACTTCTTCCCCTCAGTGTGTGTGTATGTGTGTGTTTTAAGTGGTAAAAAATTTCTGCACTTTAAATATTCTAAAAACCTTCTCTCCAAAGGTTGGCTAGTTGTTTTAAATCAGCTTCAACCAAGCCAGTCTGGAACTGCAAAATATTCAGCAGCATGTGTATTTCTGTCTATTTAATGCTGGTGCTTATACAGTAGCACAAATATACTTAGGAATTCATTCTGATGGGTAAGAGATAATGATTGGCTATGGAAGAACAAACACTGTGTGTGTGTGTGTGTGTGTGTGTGTGTGTGTGTGTGTGTGTGTTGAATGTATCACTAACCCTATAAAGTTCTAGTGCGAGAGAAACCTATAAGGGATGAGGAATGCAGGGTTAACTTTTTGATCCTGTATCTATCAGTGCTGTGGTTAGTGTTATTGTTGGCCAATTTGTAGTCTGTCTGGAGCATTGTATATTCCTCTGGATTTTTCTTTTTTCTTTTTAAAAATATATCAGTTCTCATGTACACTGCCTTAAACTTGGATGGTAAATAAATCATATCATTCATCCTTCAATTATTTCAGCTTAGTATATTTCAACTCTGGAAGCTGGCATGAAAGCTGCCTGGGTGATTTTGGGTCAATCACCCTTTCCCAGCCCAACCCTTTTAACAGGGTTGTCGTTAGGAGGAGGAAGGAGGATTATGTATGGTTACCATCTTGAGTAACCATAAAGTAATAAAAATGGGATTAACAAAACCCCCAATAAATAAACAAATTATCTCTGCTCTCTCATAATTCCATTTGCTCATAGTAGTTCTGTTCCGACGATGACTTTATTTGCTTTATATGATGGAATCAGAATCTTAACATCTGCAGAACATCTGCAGAATTTTGTACAGCTGCCATTGCTCTACAGAGAAAAATGTCTTCATTTTAGAAATTTATAACTGTAAAATTGTATATCTTTTATGTTGCTTTATAGAGTTTTTTTTGTCATACATGACTGGTCACTAACTGCATTTGACTTATACATTGCAGTAAGAATCCACGAATAGCAAAAGGAAAAGCCAAATAATACAAGACATGTATTACATAAGAAAGAAAAATCTGAAAAGATTTTCTGCCTTATAACTGAGCCAAAAATACTTCTTTCAGCAGGGTCCTTCTCTCTGACTGCAGTGACATCAGTGCTAAGCCTTTTGCCCCCATTACTCTTGAAGGAATGGTTAAAACATCTGTCATATTTGATCAAGAATGATGATGCATACAATTCTGGGGATCATACTATAGAATTAACTGTCATATTCCCTATGAAATGCCAACCAATAGCTCAAATAGCTGTAGAAAGTTAACACTGTCTATATGAACATTTGATATAAATAATAGCCAAGGGATATCTTCTTATGCTATTTCTTTTTATCTGTATTCCTGCAATAAGCTACTCATGCTGCTATGATCCATATTGTCAAATCACCTAAAATACTTTCACATATATGTGTACATCCTGGCTGTAGTTGAATACAAATATGTAGAGTACCATAGGACTAATCAGAAGGATATCTCAATATGATCATATATAAAGAGGTATGCATTAGACAGGGGGACCAATGGCCTAGCAGTGGGCTTGTTGAGTGGAAGGCAGTTTGAGACCCAAACACCATGTGATGGGATGAGCTCTTGTTCTTTATCATCTACTGCCAATTTAACAGTTTGAAAGCATGCAAATGCAGGTAGATAAATAGGTACCACTTTGGTGGGAAGGTAACAGCATTCCGTGAGCCTCGGTGTATGGTCATGCTGACCACATGACCACTGAAGTGTCTTCAAACAATGCTGATTCCCTTGGCTAAGAAACAGAGATGAGCACCACT